GCGCACACTTAGAATTTGAGTCGAGCTGTAGCTCAGTTTTCTATCTTCTTTCGCTCATTCGTTCTCATTCATTTGTGTTTTCCTACGTGCGGAAGCATTCATATCCGTTCTTCTGCTTCCGTTCTGCTGCGGCTGCCACTGCCATTGCCTCAAATTGCAACCCGCATCTGCTGCGGCTGCTGCTGCTGCAATCTGCTTCCGCAGCGCCTCAGCTGCTACTTATTTTCCATTTAATTACTTGTTCCGACTCTTAACGCTGTTTCTATTGCTTTATAGTTAAGCCGCATTGTTGTTGTTGTTGTTGTTGTTGTTGTTGTCTTTGGCATTGTTGTCGTAATGCTCAAAGTACTTCTTTGTCGCACACGTACTGCAGCCGTATCGCATATAATACTTCACATTACCCTTAAAAAGCCAATGTGACGCAGTTGTTCATTGTTCAAGCCATCGGCAGTTAGTCGACAGCTCAGATACCCTTACAAGCGCAGCTGTTCTTTATAAGATTAGGGATTTGCATTGAAACAGAAACACTCAGGGTTCTGATTCATATTGAATTGAGTTTGCTTTGATACAAATTTATGGAGTAGAAATTCTCTACTTTTACATTACACAATATATAGTAATTAAAATTTTATTTAATATCTCTCTATACTAATTTGATTTATCTGGAAATTTCCCTTACATATATATTTACCATAATTTATCTCTCAATTAAACTCGCCAACATATCGTCACATATATCACAACGACTTCGCGCTCACTCTACACTTTGCCCGAGGGCGACAAACGGAAGTCGTACGCCCATTTAGGCTTAACAATTGAAAATCTTTACTTGAAATGCGACGGCACATGCGTTAAGCACTACGATTTCCGCTACAGCAGGGGGCGCCCGCTCCCTTCACGTTTTTTTGCGTTTTCGAGTCCGTGAATTAAACAAGATCTGGGCAGGAGTTGAGGCGCGAACAAAAAGGGATAACGGCTACGGCTGACGATACGGCTACTACGGCTATACAAAAACAAATTCAATTCAGCCCGAGGCATTTAATTAACAGATGAAAAACACAGCAGCAACAGCAGCAGCAGCACCATATGAATAAGCTTTCATTTCCGCTACAACAACAACAACATGAGCAATAACACTTGAGTGCTGTTCAGCGCCGACTCGAGGCATGAATGAAATTATTAAAGATATCGATCGACTCTTCGATCTCTTACCAAAAAAAAAAAAAAAAAAAAAAGCAACTGGAAAACGAGTAGCTGAGTAGCCAGGGCAGCAGCCCGAACAGGAGCCCGCTCGACGGGTAACAAATGAGTGCAACAGCAGCAGCACCAAAGAGTTGCCCCAAATTAAAAACAATTCATTAAGAATGTCTGACCGGTAGCTACCCTGTATTTGGGAGAGGCAGTGGCAGTCAAAATAGAAAAAGAGATATTATTGCAGAGGTCATATAGTAGAAGTCGAATAGTAGAATAGTAGTAAAAGTAGTAGGATGTGTGACAAAATAGTAGTAGAAATTTAGTAGATAACAATCGTGTAAGCAATCGTAAGCAGCAGCTATTTAATGAAAGTAAGTAGTAAAACTATAGTAGTAGAAATCAAATATGCAAAAATAATATTAATATTGTACCAGTTCCCATATAAATAGAAATGACAATATAAACTTGGTTATAGTAGTATTACTTCAAATAAAAATAGTAGTAGATGTACCAGCGAAATAGTAGTAGGTACCTCAGCGAATTACTATTCAGTTGTTAGGTTGTTGCATTCTCATCTTCCCAGACACATCATACCCTTTTGAGCAACATTATTCAATATGTTAATATATAAATATATATGTATAAGAAAAATGTGGGGATCTCATCATCTGTAGCAAGTTTTTAAGCTTTACAAAACTAAATTTCGCTTTCTCGAGGCGCTTGCGCTTTAATCAACTTTGCCAAGAAGCGAACAAGACTATTTAACTTTTTTTTTCACAACAGACAGCTAGCCATGCAGATAGTGAGTAGATATGCAGATACACACACGCACACACAGGTATGCACACACACACGTTCACACATTAAGTGTTTGTCGGATTTGGCGCTGAGTAACGCCTCCAACTTCCGTTCGCTATTCGCAGGCCGGTCGAAAAGAAAATGAGAAAAACAAGTAAGACGGCGCAGGCAGGCTATGAGCGACTAAAAGATATGCTGTAAGTGCTATGAATATGAGTTAGCTAAAATTAGGCTATAGTTAATAGAAATCCTTGTAATATATGAAGTTTATAACAAATCGAAAGTCTGATATAATTATACGGGTTTTATTCGCCCTCCCTGTAATTTAAAAGATCGATAACATTTGGCGCTGCTTGACCACAAAATTCAACCCTACGAACCCTTAAATTATGCACCAAATTTACCCTAATTAACCCTTGCAGAACTTTTCATGCAGCTCGAATTACTTTTGGCCGCTTTTTGACTTTTGTCTGTCCCCGCAATTTGCGAACCTCAATTGGACTAGGGTTAGGGGTTGCAGCTATCGATCTCGGACACCACAAGTACGGGAAGTGGAAGTGGTTTTACGGGATGGACACAACGGATGGTCAAGTGGCTCATCAGTTGCTTGGCCGTTGTAAATGTTTCTTGGGAACGGAAGTTTTTGGTGGTGCGCAACAAACAATTACGCGGCACTCGAGACAAAGGCAAAGCTTGAAACTGAAAATGAACTGTTGTGGCTCAGAGTAGAGCCGGGGCTGGGGCTGGGGTTGGGGCTGGGGCATGGAGCACAGCCTCGGCTGGCGTGCAAGTGGTTAAGCCACTGTCATTACAGATTTAATTAGATAATTAATAAAGGCAATCAATGTTAGGGCCAAGGTCTGCTGCTGCGACGGCCGACCATCTGGCAAGCAGTTAAGCAACGTATCGAACGGCTGACACGCACGCGCACCAGTTGAAGCCGCTCCAAAGGAAGTGGGACCCCTCGTTCGAGTTGACGGAAATCGCGAGGCAAAGGAACGACAACAACAACAACTACAACAACAAAACTGACGACAGCAACAACACTCGTTCGCATTCTTTGGCAGCACAAGCAGAAAAAAAATCGTGCACATTTAAAGTAGAGTTGATTGGGGAGGATGGGGAGAACTCACATGTTCTGGTAGTCCCCAAAGCCGCGGCTACGTGGACTCGGCAGATGAGCTACCGAGAGGTGAGCTTTTGATTTCAGCAAAGCTTGACAATCGACAATCGATAACTGTTAACCAATACATATAAACTGATTGAGGTATACGATAAATCAGGCAATGAAACGATCTTAACTTTATAGCAGATCGTGTTATTCCCGACCTGTATAAAGCATTAGAGTATCAATTACAGGACCAATCGATATTTATCGATAATATTGATCCTACAGCGCCCCTACAAAGCCTGCTTCAGTTCACATGTAGGGTATTGAATGCTCCACAAAACAGCACAGAAAATCTGTATGAATTTAACTTTAGAAAGAGCTGCTGCTGCTGTGGCTGCAGAGTGAAGAGCCGAACAAAAAAAGGAGGAAAATGTTAAAAAGAATGACGATGAATGACGGGAAGCGCACAGCTTAGCTGCGCTCCGTTGGATAATTGAGGAAGTTATAATTGCCAATGAAGCCAACCAGCCCAGACTAAGAGATTGCCACGCCAGAACGGGGGGAACCAGCTGTCCAAGCGTTCCATCCATCCAACTGCTCTGCGTCCCGCCTCCCGCTTCCCGCCTGCAACAGCCAGAGTGTTCGAACCCTTTGCAAAAAACAAAAATACACACGCACACACACACACTAAAAAAAAGATCGCAGTAGCCAATTCAAGTTGTCGTCGTTGTTGCTGTTGCTGTTGGTAGTTTTTTGTTTGTGATTGTGGCAGAGAGGAAACAGTTATTGTTGTCTCCTCTGGCTGACGATGACGGGAAACAGGACATGTCTTCGCATAAATTGAACGCCTGTCCAGTCGCAGCCGCGTCGAGTCCAGTCTCAGCGGAAGGACATTAATTGAAGCACTCATTCGCATTCGTATTCGCATTCGCAATTCAATCTAATCTACGTTTTGATTTATGAGATAAGCATAAATTAATACAGACTGAATGTGCTTGCTTGTAGAATCTAGTAGTATTAAGTTGGCTGCGCTTGGTTAATGGATAAATTGTGTGAAGGGAGCTAGGCATGGGGTTTATACTGTTAGAAAACCTTAAAAGGATAAGTGCAATTCTAAAAAGTTTGCATGAAGAAGATGTGAAAATGGAGCTCATAAATGATGAAAACTACCCTACATCTCTTTCAAAATGTATACGAAAATTCTTATTCACTATCTTGATGTAGAATCTCAAATGGTTCAAGAAACGGTTCAGGAATCAAAATAGTTTTTCGTTTCAGGAACAGTGCTATTTCTCTATTTCTACTCTTTCTTTCTTATTCTTCAAAACTAACTTTTGAGTTTCTTAGTATATACAATTATTATGTCCAACCCAAAGGAACTATCTCCCTTAGCAAAGCTGTCCGACTCGCATAGTTTTCACTGTATTATGTTTTGTGCATTCACGTATGTGTATGTGTTTTAAGACGCAATTGCATCACAAGAGCATGGGCAAATAAACAATAAATACCAAGTGTAGCAGACACAGCAACGAGCACCTGTGTCAACAATGGAAAAAAAGCCTCTGAGTTGGATACCAAAACCAAATGCGACGCAGTATATAAAGATGGGCCCTTACCCTGCACACACACACACACACACACATACATACATACAAAGGCACACAAACAGATACGCACAATTTTTGTATCTAGATACTTGACACGATTTTGAAAACAAGGATTTTCATTGTGTCGCAAGTCGCAAATAGTTCGATGCGAGAGGCCCCCTATAGATGGATCTACAATGCTTTCCCATTGAATAACCTTTTGTGATACACACACATACACACTCACTAACTCTCCCTTTCTGTCTTGCAAAATAGTTCAATATTTGCATCGCCCACTGTCTCAGACTTACCTCTTTGCTGGGCACACAGATCGGCGTGCCGACTTTAACGATTCCATTCTCTACCATAACGCCCATGACAATCGGATCGCGACTGTTGAATATGAATTGTGGCAGTATCTGTGGAAAAAAGGACAAAACATAGTGGAAAAGGGGAATTAGTAAAGATTTCTGATAAAACAGGGCATATTTGAGGATGAATACGATGATATTGTGTTTGAGAGCTTATAATGCTCTAAGCTCAAATATTTTCACATTTAGATTATTTCTTCACGAGCAAATATTTTTAATAGCCATACTTGACTTTTCCAGATTGGAAATAAATCAAACCAAATCCAACTCGAACCTCTTACAACTTTCTTATAAGAAAACTAATCTACTTAATGAAGCCTCAACCAGAGCTAATCAGATCCAACTCGGCTTCTATCTTCAGTAACAATCTTGAAGCTTATATTCAGAACAGATCTAAAGCTTATCTTTATCTAAAACTAATTCTTTAATCGCTTTCAAGCTGAATGCAATTTGTGTTGTTCGCTTTGAAGAGCGTTGCCAATGCTATTTGGCCTGGAGCAGACAACTCAAAGAGGGCCAAATGCAGGCAATGATATGAGAATGTAAGAGGCAAGAGTTAATAACTTAACTAAACAACATCATTGTTGTTGCTGATGTTGTTGTTGTTGCTGTTGTTGTTGTCAGGCAGAAGCAAGAAAAAGGTCTGGCAACTGGACACAGCTGTGAGCCCAATTAACAGCACAGTGGGAGACAAGACGGTGGCTAGAGACAAGACTGGGGCTCCAGACACGACCAGAGAGACCAGAGTCTTGCCTACGGTCGAGTCGACTGCAGTTCGAGTCGTTGTTGAATGCGACTATAACCTAATGATTAGCTATAAATCAAATATGCTATTTTCAACATTATTTGAGCAGGAAGTGTGGACGTGATGCAAGCGTCTCACCAAACAGGCCTTAATCGCTCGTTGGCTCACCTGCTTGGCCATCATTAGCCATGATAGAGAGAGAGGGGCAGAGAGACTGGGTGGCTGCGCCCAAGCAGCAGTTGCAGTCAGCCACAAAAGCGAGTTGATTGCATTTTACACCTGTAGCTCGCATTTGCTACAATTATTGCTTCGATCAAGAGTGCAATATATGTATATCAAGAAATACTCAATTCAATGAGCAAGGATATATACTCGCATTCGACATTTATTATATATCAATTGTTAGAAAATAGATCATATGTAAAGCCTCCCATAGTGCTGTTAGATCACGCAAATTTTAGTCATTTGCCTAATTTGTATTTCTTTGGAATCTTCGCTCACCTTTAGTTTGCATGGAAAGACGGCAATCGAGCGGAATTCTTCGCGTTTCTTTTGCTTCAACTCCTCGCGGTAGCTGGTGAACTTATCGAACAGATGATAGATAATGTCCGCTTGGAATATCTTGACACCCAGCGAATCGGCCATTTCCTGTGCCTCGCGCTCCACTTTCACATCGAATGCCAAGATCGTTGCATATCTGTAGAACGAGTGTAGAACGAGAAAGAGTTGGCCAATTAAATCAATAACAAATGATCATCTTACATTACAATTATAATTATAATTATCATCATCATCATCAAATATCAGTAACTATTTGGGTTTTCCTGTCTTTGACTATGTCGAACAGAGCCAGGAAGCGTCAATAATTGAAATGAAAAAGAAGAAGCCGGCGTCTATGCTATCTCTGCTTCTTCTTCTTCTATGCTCAACGTGCTTTCAAAGACAGGAAACAGTTGGCATTAAGTCGATACGTGCCACCCTTTGGAGTCAGCCGACAAGACAGGTTCGGTTCCACACAAATTGTTGAACAACTCGAGAAGGTTCTTCTTATTTTTTTTGGAAAATGAATTTGATGACGAAAATAGTTAGGAAATTATTTATGACTTAGTGTTGGATTTTGGTTGGAGGAAATTTCCAGAAGTGCTTTACTAAGCTAATGAATGAAAAAATCTTAAAATATTGTTGAGTACTCTAGGCATATCGAAAAGCTTTCGAAAATATCTAATTAGGAGGATGAAACGGTAAATAGAGAACACTAGGAAAGAGATCATTTATGGGTAATACATATATATGGGAGAGTGAGTTGATCGTTTGTCTGCTAAGACATCATAGAAAATCATTTATAATAATTTATTCCATATCTAAGCTATGCCTCCTATGACAACATAAAAACTTCTCTCCCTAAGAATCTTTCATTCAATGCTAAAGATCACTCATTTTATTGTCTATATAAATTTCGTTTATATAGTCTATAAATATATTTTCAAATATTTCAAATCAGCTTAAAGAAATTCCACAAGAGAACAAATTTTAATTAATAAATAAAGCTCATTGTTTGTGGATCTTTCGCATTGGGTGGTTAAATATTTTTTTATGTTGCTTTGGAGTGTAAGAGTTGCCATAAAGACAGTTTAAGTTATTTTTTATGATGCTTGTGGCAAGATAAATGTGGACAACCAAGGACGGAATCATCATCATCATCATCATCGTTGTCAGGGAAGACACTTAAAAAACAAACAAACTGAAGAGGAAGAAGCAAAGCAGAGAGAAAAAAACACAAATTTCGTGATCACCTGCAGCGTAAAAAGCCAAATTTTATGGTTAAAAATTCCGCGCGCGTAAGAATCATCAATAAATAAACGGCAACACATAGTAAAAATGTAATATTGTGTTTATAGCCTGCCAGAGAGTGTGCTCTATCCATCTCCCTCGCACGAAGAGCGAGAGGGCAGCCGCAAGAGAGAGAATGAAAAGGGGGGTGGGCTGCAGTGCAGGCTTTAAATGTATTATTGAGTTTATAGCCTGCCACTCACTCATTCGAAAGCACTCCAAAATAGATAGTGGGCGAAAAGGAGCAATGAGAGAGAGAGAGAGAGAGAGAGAGAGATCGAGGGTGGGTTGCACTGCTTAGCACAAATGAACTATTAAGTTTATAGCCTGCCAAGCAGGGCTTACAGCCTCAAACTCTCACTCAAAAGCAGTGCAAAATGCAAAGTGAGTGAGTGAGAGAGGGAGAGAGGTGGACATGTCTGAGTGCTTTGCCAATGCATAAATAACTCAAATGGCTGCGCATGCGCAAAGGGCCGGATGCGTTTAGCAGCGGAAACGACGCGTCTATTACATGGGCGTTGATATGCAGATACAAATGTGGCATTCAGATACATTTGTATCTGCATAGCCACACACATTTCTATTGCATTGCTGTTGCCGAAGTTATCGCCTCATGTGAGGCAGTAATGCGAGCATGTGGGCTGAACGAATTGTAAATGTAGCTGCAACAGCAACAATAACGTATCTGAAGCTGTGAATATTATGTTGAATGTATCTGCAGGTATCTGCGAGTGTATCTGTAAGTAAATGTGTCTAAATGAACGTATGCTCCTCTCTCTACATGTATCTATATATAACGTTACTCATCAGCTGCAACTCTAGCTGCGAATGCATTTGTATCTGTGCATCTGCATTCGCTTTGTTGCTGCTAAGCAGAGCACAAAAACAGTTGTCGCTGCAATTGGAAACTTCTCATGCAGCAGCCAAGCGGCAGCGACGCCGCGCTATTTGCAAAAGTAACTCTAATGAGATAAAGCCGCCGTCAAGGCATAATTTTCTTAAAGGGTATCTCTCGCGCACAACAATAAATCATCGGGTATCGCAGGCAGTGGAAAGGAAAGTGCATTCTCTGATTGCCGCTAAATGAATCACTTAACCCAGAGCAACCACAGCCACACGGAGTCCACGTCGGCTATATCAGACACGCTCTTCAAAGAGCCGCACTGCACATTGTTTATAAGTCTTTTGTTCTTTGAGGTGCTGGCGGAGGGGGCCGAGGGAGAGGGAGGACGGGGCATAAGGGAATGGAAATGACCAGTCGCCGGTGTTAATAAAGTTAAGCTGCAATAAAATTGAATTGTTCGCTGAATGCAACATTGTTGTCTCCAACAGCTGATATAATAATGATATGTAGTCTGCCTCCGCTTATAAATGGACCTCAGAGATCGTTAAAATACTGCCGACTGTGCTTAGAGTTGTTAGGAATTTAGTATATTTGGTTAACTTACTGCGCCTCATGCTCCAACATTGTCGAAGCCTTCATCACATCTCGCTTGACCACGGGACCAATGCGAATGGCAGAGTACTGCAAGAGACAGAAGAAAGAAGGGAGAGAGAGTGTACATTAGATTATGAAATTCGTAATAAAAATATGTTTACATTTCAATAGGTGTGCCAAATGCCAAATGCCAAACGCAATTCTGTTGAACCATAATCAAATTTCAAATTCTGACGCAGCAAATAAGGTTACCCAAAAAAAGAAGAAGAAAAAATCCTGATTGTGGGCGTAGGAAGTGCGTAAGAGCAGCCGCAAAGCTAATTAAATGAAACGCACGACATCGATACGATATACGGGTGCTAAAAGGTAAAAGGTAAAAGGTCAACTGACACCTGCAAACGCATTGCTGACGTCAGCACTTAAGCACGCTTCAGCATGGGTCAGAGGGCAAGGGTTGTTCCCCGACAAAGCCCCCGGCCTAAGTGCCCAGCCAGAGACAATGTTCGTCTTTCTCAACAAATTGAATGATTGCGTTGCTTATTTTATTTGATGTTTATTTCTCTGTTCCTCTGTATAGTTTCTCAGTTTGCTTTTTATTACTTGGCTAACCCCTGGTGTTTAGGTCTGCACGTTCCGGTCAAGACTTCCGTTCTTATGCACATCTATTTATCTACATTTCGGGCCAACTTCCTTCGCGCTGCTGATTTCATTAAAAATGCGGTCGCAACGTGTTTATGAATGAAAATTAAGCAATAAGCTCTTCAAAATGCTATCGTGAATATATGTGTGTGTGTTTCTGTGTGAGTGTGTATGTACGATGCAGGAAGAATTACTTCCGTTGTTGTCGTTGCTTTTTTGTTTTCATTTGAACGTATGAACATTTACTCATTCATTCAGTTACTCATTCATTCGTCGCTGGTTCACTCATTCATTTGTATTTGTATTTTTTTTTTTTTTTTTTTTTTTTTTTTTTGCTGTACGAATGCAAAGGGTATTCCAGCTGAAGCATGTCAATTTTAACCCTTATGCAGGAGTTCACTTCGACTGCACAAGTATGCAAATAAAGAGACATATAAAACATGATTTCAATTTTCATAATCTGTTTACAATTTTTCGGATTAAATAGTACTTTTATAATAGTCTAGTATGTGCGCTTTCATTTGTACCGCCAGGGTATTTTCTCTTCCATAACCTTGTTTAGTTTCCCAATGTTTTTTCCGCTTGTTTTTATATTGACTGACGTTCTTGTTGTTTTGTTTGGTTCTTGGCAGCAACTACGTCGCATTAATGAAAACGTTGGCATTGTCCACTTCTTCTTCTTCGCTCACTTCCTTCCTTTCATTCTTTTAGTGCCTACATGTACATAGATATACATATAGTACATGCCGCAAAAACATGAGAAAAAGCGCACAAAATTAAATTCATTCATTAAATTCAGCGATACGATGAACACGCCATGGAGTAAGAAAGTGGACTAGCCGATGAGTGAGAGTGAGCGAGCGCAACACAGGCAAGGGGTGAGTAAGAGGAGCGAAGTGTAGAAAGCAACGCATGAGTTAGGGCTAGAGAGAGACAGCTAATTGAGTTGTTTGCAGTACAATGGACTACATTTTTTAACCGTTTTCTTCTTTGTTGTCGTTGTGGCTGTTGTTGTTGTTGTTGATGCGCACTTCTTTTTGACATTCTACTTTTTGCTGCCTAATTTGGTGTTGGCCAGGGGTTTTTATTTTTTATTTTTTGTTCATTCTCTTCTTTTGCGTTTTACGTTATTTGAGTAGCAGCAACAATTGTTAGAATTGCGAGACGAGTAATAAATTTGCTGTTTCAGCTAGCTTTTGCTACTGCTACTGCTACTGCTTCTGCTTCTGCTTCTTCTGCATATTCTCCTGATTTTGCATTTCGTTGTGGGCGTCGTTGCATTCGCATATTTGCATGCAACTACGTCTCGATTACAAATTGTTGCCAACGCTTCGCGCTAAGCATGGCCGAGTGCCTCGACTTGCGAAACTTGCTATAAGTGCGAGTGTCTGTGTCTGTGTAAGTGTTGTTGACTTTTAATTAAAATGCATAGGGGGAATCAAATTACCTACACTACCATAACAACGTATCTACGTACTTGCATATACATGCATACATACATATGTATGTATGTACGTTTATTTGTTTGTAGCCTCTATTCCATGACGTCGTCGCCCGCAGAAGCAGCAGCAGCAGCGACTCACAATTATGGCTAAAGCAGCCACAAAAGTAGCTAAAGCTACAACAGCAACAACTTAGTTGATGGCTGCATAATTACAATTACAGCCCAAATACCTGAATTAAACAAAACTAACTTAGCGGCAGCCATTCCCAAGCTGCATGCGTTTTCTCTCATGCTCTACCATTTGTATTTTAGCTATGGCATTCAGTTTGTTACATGACACAAATTAAGCCTACGCTCAATTTATCACAGAATTGATTCTCTCTTATATATTCTTATATCTATCTCTCCCTCTCTGTTTCTCACTCTCTTTCTCAATATCTATTATTGAACTTATTCTCTTCTCCTATCATATTACATATTGCAGCGTATTCGTTTCGTCTGCTAATATATTCAATTTTTTGGCACATTCAAGATATCTGCTTTTTGCCTTCTTGTGTTGGATTCGCTGAGTGTATGTATATATGTATGTACATATGTATGTGTGTGTGTGTGTTTGGTTATTTCTGCGCAATTTTTCATTCATGAAAGAAAAACGTCACGGACGAGCTAACAGACTCCGACTTGGCTGCTTGTTACGTATTTTTCATTCATAAAAGAAGAGGAAGAAGAAAAAGTAACAGACACAAAGAAAACAAAATTGTGTTGGCATGAATGAAACTTTACTCAGTTGTTGCGGGTGTTTGTGTACATGTCGGTGTGTGTGTGTGTGTGGGTTTACTAATACCATTACCGAAAAAAGAAGAAAAAGAAAAGAGTTGTATAAGCAAACGCAACTTTTTTTATGAATGGCAGCTTGACTAGCTACGACTACGACTTTGCTATATTTGGTTGTAAGCGACGAGAGGCAAATGTTAATGAAGCCGCAGTTGGCAACGGAATTTAAGCACAGATTGCAGGCCAATTGCATAACGGTGCTTGCAACAGCAACTGCAATGTACACAAGCATTGCACCAAAAGCTCTCCCTGCCGTGCCCTCTCTCCCTCTCTTTTGTGGTTATTCCATGTCTGCGTTGTCTTTGGTGTCTCACAAAAATATATACACATGTACATACATACAAATATATTGCAAGCAAATACACTGCGCTCCATAAATCTGCGACCAAAAATTAGATGGCGATGCATACAAGCTGAGGGAGGGCTGCCATAAAAATCGAGTAGCTGCTCATAATACGACTTCCTGCTTTAATGCGTTGGGCAAACATATAGATATGAATATGTGGGTTACTCAGCTCAAATCTAAGCGTTTCCCCTTGACAACATGTACAGTAGATATTGGCATTTTTAACTGTACAACCGTTGCATATTCGTATATCACAAATTGTTAGGTCACCCTCGCGCTGAACTACAACTAGGCTGAAGCTGTATGTTGAAGAGGAAACAAAGATTAGAGAGAGGTTAAGGAAGCAAAAGAAGAATATATACACACATACATATGTATGTTTATACATACACACAGACATACCGTGTTAACCTTAAAATTTTTGCAATTCTTTTTCGAGGCGGTTTTCATGAATATCTGAGAATGCTTTTGCCTAATGGCCTTTGGGTGTGAAATTCGCGAAACCATTTAAATTGAGGGGCTGCTAATGAATTATTGTTATTTGTATAAATATTGTGCGTATTGCTATTATAAGTGAATTATGTTAATCTTCAATCTGTGTATGTGTGTGTGACGCACGCCCCCACTAAACACATGGCCTGCAAGATAAAGATGGCAGATGGGCAGCCAGGCAGCCAGGCAGACAGCAACAAGTGCAATTAATTTTTATGAATAGAAAGCGCGGCTGCTGCTGCTGCTGCTGATGCTGATGCTGATGCTGCCGTTGCGCCCTGCCGCGTCGTGTTTAATTTATAGAAATGTATAGCAAATGTTTATTTGATCAATAAAATGAATTATTGTACGCGAGCAGATGTGCGTGTGAGCGAGCGAGAGCGGGAGAGATAAAAAGAGGGAAAGCTTCTGTTCAGTGTACAAACAAGCAAACTGTCTGCCAAAATGAATGAAACAACCGAAATGAACAACAACAACAGCAAACCCAACAGCCAATAAGCATCATGGGGGCTGCAATTAAGCAGAGCGCAAGTGCCAGCAGCTGAGAGCGCAGCACAACGAATAGAGAGAGCGAGAGAGAGAGCAGGCGTGAGCGAATAATGAATGTATGGGTATGCGCATGTGTGTGTGTGTAATTGATTTGTTTTCCATACAATTTATTGCCTGTCTGCTGCGTGTGCTCTTTTTTCTTCTTCTTTTTCTTAGTGAAGCGTGTTTCAGTTTTTTTTTGGCGACACTTGCGGAGCTGGTTATTGTTGATGTTGTTGTTGCCATATGAAATGCGCTCAATGAAATGATGAATGGGCACTCAAGCAAGACAGAGCGAGAGAGAAAGAGCAACAAGCAGCCCATCAATTGAAGCCGAGCTCATCAAAAAGAGAGCCGCACTCACTCTCTCAACCAATTTTTGTTTTGTTTTGTATCTATTTAAAGTGTCGATTGTTTTCAGCTCGGACGTTGTGCCGTAAATTAAACCTAAACGACTTTTTAACGCGAATGGCAATGTCTGAAATCAATGAAAAACGTATTTTATTTTATTTTATTTTTCTCTCTTTTTTTTTTTTTTTTTCTTTCTTTTTTTTTTTTTCTTGGCTGCCTCCAACAACATCTTGTCTAGATCATTAGAGACACTTAAATGACAATTTCCGGTCAGTTTGGTCAGAGCCAATATAAATTGGAATCCCTGTTCGTATTTCATAGCGTGGGTGCTTCAAATNCAATGAAATGATGAATGGGCACTCAAGCAAGACAGAGCGAGAGAGAAAGAGCAACAAGCAGCCCATCAATTGAAGCCGAGCTCATCAAAAAGAGAGCCGCACTCACTCTCTCAACCAATTTTTGTTTTGTTTTGTATCTATTTAAAGTGTCGATTGTTTTCAGCTCGGACGTTGTGCCGTAAATTAAACCTAAACGACTTTTTAACGCGAATGGCAATGTCTGAAATCAATGAAAAACGTATTTTATTTTATTTTATATTTTTTTTTTTTTTTTTTTTTTTTTCTCTCTTTTTTTTTTTTTTTTGGCTGCCGCCAACAACAGCAAACATACACACAACAAGACACTTAAATGACAATTTCCGGTCAGTTTGGTCAGAGCCAATATAAATTGGAATCCCTGTTCGTATTTCATAGCGTGGGTGCTTCAAATAATTACTCGATCTTCATGAAAAACACACACAAACACAAGTTTAGATAAACAACTAGATATATATAAGTAGTTTGATCTGTTATGATATTAATGCCATATACGATTTCTCGATGAGAGCGCGAACTACTCTATAAATAAATTTAAGAGTGGAAGAAGACGAGCTAGTTATATAACTATGTAAGTACAATATAAATCTTTGCTGTAGATTATAAAATTACATGTATAACAACTATACATATATATATAATATTATAATATTAACAAGAGTTTGTTATACAAGAGTATAAGCGAATTACAAGCATTGGAACTGCAACTGTATAACTAGATATAAACTTAAGTATAACAATATAGTATTACAACAATACTCGTATACCAACTAGCATCTAGCCAAGTCAATCTGTTACCTAATCCACATTCAAACTAATATGCCCTCTCTGAAAGTTAATTAAATGGTTGACAAGTGACATTTGGTATTTGCGTCGGCGCTAGTTAGTTACTAAATTTGGCTTAAACGAAGGCGGAACTTGTTACATAGCCGGCCGGCCCGCTGCCCACATAACCGACACTCAACTCAACTCAATTCAAGTCATGAATGAATGAATGAATGGCAATCAAGCCGCTTGCTGTCCGTCCTCGTCGTCTGTCCATTTGTCACGCTGTCAGTCCGTCCGACATTTTGCCATAATTGATTTTTGATGCAAACGCAAAAAAAAGTTGACGGCGACAAATTTTTGCGTTCCAAATGTGTAAAACGAACTAAACCATATGAGTGACTTGCTAGAAGTGGGAATGCTGGAAGTGCAGTTACCCTATAGCAAATTTAAATATTGTATTTATTTTATTTAAGCTGGTATGATGGAATGGATGATGGAAGAGGAATTATCCTGGATCGAGAATGCATTCTCGAAGAGTTTTCTCTGTTTCTCTTGAAATAAAATGTAATGTATGTAGAGTTACCTTATCTCATATATCTCTCCCATATATCACTAGCAATTAGTCTATAGTAGAGTCAATTGCTAAGCTAGAATTCATCCCGAGTACACTTAGAGATCTCATTGCATCTCAATGATTTACATTGAATAGCTGAGATCACAATTAATCACCTGCCACAGCAACGTTCCACTTTACTTGCCACGCAAAGTGTGTTTTTGTCAACTGTTATACGCCTCTGACTAGCATTATGTAAGCTTTTATTAGCCAATTTGCATAGTTGTTGTCTCCGTTGCGTTGGCGTCTTGGATTTGGCTTTAGACTCGAATTTGGAGGCTTTGGAGCAATGATGGGAAAACTTTTCGCAGCTGCCTGCATAAAAAGATGATGAAAATGTGCTGATGAGACTGTGGGAAACCCTATAACGCATGTGGGCTGCCCTTAATGAGCTTGTAGTGTTAGCTAATTGACTCGGATCTTGCTCTGTGGGCCCGAACTAGTTTCCGAGACTACCTAAAACAAACTAAAACTGAACTAAATATAGAATTGGATTATGGAATTAGTTTAGAGTTCCGTGAAGTTATGCCATTTTTCACAATTACAATATAGACTATTCAGTTCATATACATTTTATAGCAAAGTATATAAAATAGTAATGTGTTGCTTGAAAGAGAAGTGTGTTATAATACTAATGGTAATAGAATAATAATTTGTATTACATATACTACAACATATATATATATATATATCGTATAACAATAGTCCTGTTAAATATACAATACTATAGTATAGTACATTATTAAGAAAATTACAGCAAGTCCAGATTGCTCACAAGAAATTCTTATTTTCTTGCAATGCAATAAGAAATAATAATAACGGAAATATCTGATTACACTATCGGCATATCATACCTATATTTATACACATACATATATATTTATATATAAATATACAGAAAGATATAAATTCTATTTATTTTTGTTACTTCCGTTCAGCATTTCCGCTGCCTGGCATTCAATTTGAATATTCAAACGTGTTCTTTAACACAAACAAATACGAAATGCCAATAAAAATATATCTGATATATACACATATCAAGCATTTACATATATATACGATTATATAGAAATCATTTGGACTGGCATCAAATAGCCAGGCATCAAATGGCAAATGCCTAAGAATTCATTCATAAAAGCTTATATTTAATTATTTAAGCTATATATATATATATATGTCTATAGAGTCGCCATAATCATTCAGTTACATACATACATATATATGTGTATATTGATATATTTATGTGGTTATATGTAGCTGCGTATGTAGCATGTCTCCATATATACAAATCCAATTACATATATATGTATATATAGAGCGCAAACTATTTTAGTTGATGTTCAATCTTTTCGCAATTGGTGTGGGGGGCGGGGAAGGGGTGGATGCGCTGAAGATTCTATGCTTTGGCTCTTTTGGATGGGGCAGTGCGTGCTGTTGGCTATGCGCCCGCCTTTTGGCTGCTTGTTGCATGAATCATTCCGAATGTGGCCGGGTTTCTAGTTGTTATTTGTTATTGCTGTTGCTCCCGCTGCTGTTGCTGCTGCTGCTGTTGTTGTTGTCGCTAATGTTGTTGCAACTATTTGCACCGCATTTACAAAAATACATTTTATGTTTACGCCAACAAACGGCGACGTTGTCTGCCGCGCTGGCTACGCAGACTGCGGGCTGCGATCTCAGCAGCAACAGCAGCAGCAGGAGACGGAAACGCAGGTGGCGACTGGCGACTGCCAACTGAGGAGATAGGGAGCAGCAGAGCGGTGGAGCTCGAGGAACTGCGAATCGGGGAATCTGGTCACTGAGATTTAGGCAGACGCCGCCATCGCCTCATGCACTCATAATTTTCCAAAAATACTCTTCTGTGCGACAATTTACAACTTTCTCTTCTTGTTGCCATATTTTACAAAAAATGTTGTTTTTGAAAATAAGCTAAAAAAAAAGCCTAAAAAAGTTTTCTGTAGCTATTTTTGAAAATTTGTCGGCTGATTGAATACTTTGATTATGGTTTCTCTTTAATTGCAATTACTCTATGTAGATCTATTAGTGTAACTATAGTCTATGACATATATTTTTACATAGACTATGAAGTAATTATTTATATAGACAAAATTATCTACAAGAGAGTTCGAGTTTTATATAAATTATCTCAAATTAATATACAGACAGAATCAGTCAGCTCAAGAACTAGAAGAGTTTACTCTTGTCTATCTATAATATTCCCATTTTACCCATAAATTCTCATATAATAAATAAGCTTATATCTTATATTTGAATTATTAAATAACTAACTGATTTAGCTATCCATAATTATGCCAACATAATCGCTATTCCACAAAAGTTTCCTCTCCCATAAATTATTCCTTCATTTCTAAACTCTTCACTTACCGGAATCTTTGAAGTGCGTAAAAATTCGAGCAGAGCTTCCAAGGAGCCTAGAGTCGAGGCTTGCACATAGACGCCTGATGGAGCCAATTTGATGTGGCTTAAAGCGCTCTTCAGTTCGCGGGCAACTTCTTCTCTGTAAATAGAAATGAGTTACATAAGCGAGTGCGCACATATATATTACAGATTTTCAGATATAGCACTATTACACACTCGGCTATAATAAACTATATGAAAATTCGTTTCACCCACTTGCATATTTCGATTTCATCCGGTTTGTGCGCAATAAGCAAATTGATGCCAGCAATTGCCTTCTCCAGATCCTTGGCGGCTATCTTAACACCCTGAGCGGCCTTCACCTCCTTGTACTCCACATAGGCATTCTTCACACGCAGCTCCTTCATGGGCTGTGGCATGAGCAGTGAGCGAATTTGAGTAACTATCGGTCCATCTGTGCCGGCCAAGATCATGGTCTGACCCTCGCGGAGTCTGCCATTGATCAGAATGGCATCGATGGTAGTGCCCAGACCAGGTATGGCCTTCACTTCCAGCACTGTGGCCTGCAGCTCCTCGGAATACATCAAACGCTTGGCCAACATGTTCTGGCAGAAGTCCGTGATCATGAACAGCAAGTTGCCCATGCCCTCGCCCGTGATGGCGCTCGTTGGCACTAGGGAGATATAGGTCTTGGGATCCTTGTTCTCATAGAACAAAGCTGCATTCAATCCTTGCTCAGCAAATTGCAGAATTACATCCTTTGTGCGCTGTTCAAACTCCAGCTGAGTATTCGTCTGCTGCTCCTTGATCACATCCCTGACATCGCGACGTGCCAGGACCTTCCAGTCATAGAGTCGATCGATCTTGTTGAGGGCCACGATGAAGGGGCACTTCTTCTTCTTCAGCAGCTGTATTGACTCAATTGTTTGCGGCTCCAGGCCGTGCATAATGTCCACAACCAAAATGGCAATATCACAGAGAGATGAGCCACGATTGCGCAAATTACTGAACGACTCGTGGCCAGGTGTGTCAATGATCAACAAGCCGGGCAAGCGATGCTCGAAGTTGGCTGCATTCTTGACATATTTCGTCTGCTCCTTGATGGCATCGATGGGCACATTGGTGGCGCCAATCTGTTGTGTAATGCCACCCGCTTCTGAGTCTTGTACGTGAGTGCGTCGCAACTTGTCCAGAATCTTTGTCTTGCCCGTATCGACATGGCCGAGCACACAAACAACGCCTGCTCGCAACTCGTCTGTGGTGCGTTTCTTCTCAGCATCCCCTTGTCGTTTGATGATGCGTGCCTCTGCACGCAGACGTCGCGACTCGGGATCGTTGGCCAACTGATTATCCTCCTTTTCGGACTCTTCACTCTCCTCCTCCGACTCATCGCTGTCATCGTCGGTGTCATCATCATTATTATCGGATTCGCCTTCATCCTGCGGCTCATTTTTGCCGTTGTTAGTGGTTGTTGTGGTTGCTTGCGAAGATTCCTCCTCTGGTTCTGCCTCGCTATCTGTAGCATCCCAGCTCTCTTTAACCACCTCCTCCTTGACCGCCTGCTCAGCAGCTGCTGCAGCGGCGGCCGCTGTTTCAGCTGCCTTTTGTGCGTCATCCTTGGACTCACCAGCGCCTTCATCCTTTGGCCCTTTCTTCTTGTTGGGGCGTATGCGTGTGCCTGAAGGTATTTAAGATTATTGACTACACTATCTAACTATCCAACGTCACAAGCTCACCTGGTCTAGTTCCACGCTTGTCATTTGGATCAGGTATTTCCAAGCCCTGCGCCTTAAGTGATTCGAGCAGCGCCTGTGCTCGGGCACGATCTTCCTTCTGTTTTTTGGTCAGAAGTTTGCCTTCGGCCTTGAGACGAGCCTTGCGTTCGGCCTCCTTTTGCTTCTTCTTCTCCTTGCGTTCAGCTTCTATGCGTAGAGCCTCCAGACGCGCCGCTTCGCGCTCTTCTTCGAGACGAATGCGCTCTTCCTCAAGCTTTTGCAAGCGCTCCTCTTCCTCTTTGCGCTTTTTGAGCTGCTCCTGCATGGCAGCCACAATCGCAGCAGACATGCCCTTCTTCTTGGTGTCCTTTTTCTCATCCTCGGCCTCAGCTTTCTTATCCTTTTTGCCTTTTTTCTTACCCTTACCCGCCTTGGAAGTATCTTCCGAAGCTTCTTCAGCTTCGGCTTCAGCCTCAGGCGCTGCCTCCTCGGACTGAGGCTCGGGCTCGGGCTCGGGCTCTGGTGGTGCCACTGGAGCTGCCGCCGGCTTTTGTTTCGGCTCTAAGGCTGCTCGCTGTTTGGCTAGCGCCGCCTCTCGCTTTTGTCGCTCCTTTTTCTCTTTCTTCTTTTGAGCTGCTGTCTTCATGCCGCCTCCTTCATCATTCTCATCATCTTCGGCTTCAGCTTCAGCTTCGATCGCTGTTGCTGCTGCTGCTGGTGCTTGCTTCTTGCCCTTCTTCGACTTCTTGCTAAGATCTTCCTGCTCAGGCTCTGCTGCTACTGCTGCTGGAGCTTCTCCTGCATACTCTGCCTGCAGTGCTGCTAGCATCTTATCCAAGTCCTCGTCATCATCTTTGCCCTTGCGCTTTGACTTTTTGCCCTTCTTTTCGTTTTTCTTCTGTGGCTTAGCAACCACCTCTTCCTCCTCCTCCTCCTCCTCGGGTGAGTCTTGTGCAGCGGGCGGTTCTTCATCATCCTCGTCATCCATCAACAAATTGAAAGCGGATTTCTTGGCGGGCTTCAGATCGGGTGCCTCATCAGCGGAATCATCATCCAAATTTTTAGACTTGGGCTTGCCTTTACCTTTCACACTTAATTTTTTGACAGCCCTTGTAATGGTCTCTACTGGCGCATCATCCATGATGTCGCTGCCCTCATCCGAAGCATTGGCATTTTTGTTGTTCTTTTTCTTGTTCTTGCCCTTCTGCTGGTTTTTCTTATTGTTAGCGTTCACTTGATCGTTGTCCGATCCTAGGACTGCGGTTTCACTAAACGGTAAAGGAAATGCGATTTGTTTTTAATAGAAACTTTGCCAACGTTGCCATCGTGGCAACAACATCAACAACAACAACATCCATGGTACTTACTTTTCGTCTGCCGATGAAGCACCCTCGACGTTGGTCAATATCTCTTTCTTGCCCTTTTTAGCTTTAACCATCTTTCCTGTCGTAGTCTCAACACGCTTCTTCTCTGAACACCCACGAAACGCCGAAATGAACTCACTATTGAAAATCTAAAACACGACGCAGAGGTAAACGAAGACAGCGACGACGACAACCACGAGTGTTTGTATCCTGATGTTACACCCAAAATGAGTATCTGATGCTGTTTGGTCTGCTCCCGTTTGACACAAGTTGAATCCTCTGCTGGGCGTTAGATCCACAATTTCTATCCTTCGCTAAATACAAATTTATGAATTTTTCTTTGCACGCCGATTTGGTTAGCGAATACGATGCACCTGTGATAGGGGTGAACAAATAGACGATTCCAATATCGATAGCGTTTATTATCGATAGTGAAGATATTAGTATTATTTGCTGCGGCACCAATAGAAACTTCAACTACTAAAATGTAAGCTAAAATCGCAATTTAATTTGTAATCAATTAAATCATAACAAAACTTTTAGTAAATCGTAATGCTTGGAAATTCATCCGCTTTAGTTCACCATATGCTTTTGTCATTTTTTTAAATTTGTACAGTATATCGTAAATAGTTCTTTTTGCACGACTGTTATTAACATTACATGAGAGTGTTGTCTTTGGGCGCCAAGAACATATGTTTTACATTTTGTGGATTATGTTTACGTTTTTGGTCATGTGGGTCGCGTTCCATCAGTTTCGTCTGGAACTTCGAAGTTTGCAAACGCCGATTTAAGGTTTTCGCGAAGAACGTAGAAGAAAAAGTATAAATTAAGCACATTTAACGCCTTTATAGGTAAGTTATAATTATTAAGTATTCAAATTGTATACTTATGAATAAGAAGTTAATTGTTGAGAGTAATACGTTTCTCTTTTACTTATGAACTTGCAGCGCAAGGCTTTTTCTGGTATTTGAAGAGTGCCTCATAGGATTATGTCGATTATGTCCGGCGACGCAACAGGCATTAACGAGAGCAACAATACAGCCAGCATTTCGGAAGGCAGCAGCAATAGTGCTGAGGTCTGTTGAAATTTGAAGCCTGTTCGCTCTTTAGTTTTGTGTATACGAATTAGAACTTCATTTTTTTTCAATCCTCTCCCTCTGTCTTTATCCATCTATCTATCTCTCTTTCCCCACCGCTATTCAGATCAAGAAGCTCGACAGCCAGCCCACAAACAAAGTCATTTCGTTAATAACAAGCGAGAGCGGATATAAAGAGGAATCGAACGACAGCCATTTGAATCGTCTGCAGTTTCTACGAAACGAACTGAACTATATCAGCGAAACGGACTGGATGTACGATAGCCTTGAAAAGAAGCAACAGCAATAAGAAAAGTTTAGTGTAGAGAGCAAGCGAATAGGGAACGCGCGAAAGGAGAAGTGTAAAGTAGAGGCAGCAAGAAATAAAAATTAAAAGCGTGTAAGGAGGAAGCAGGAACGTTCGAGAAGAAAAGTATAAAAGGGAGAATTGAAAGTAAAAAGGAAAGAGGCCGATAACATTAGAAAAGAAAGAGAGAGGGTAATGAGCTACAATCAAAGCGAGAATTGAAAGTAAAGAGGAAAGGAGTCGATAACACTAGAAAAGAAATCGGAATCATTGCGAAAAATCCGGCAAGAGCTTACACGTGTAATTGAGAAACGGAGCGCAACAATTGTCGGAAATTAAATTAAAAATGCTTTCGTTTTGGAGTCGAATTTTCCACAACTGCGAAAAGGAGTTGCAGCAGAAACGCGATCTGCTTGCTTTAGAGCATGATTTCCTAGACCAAGAGCCCGTCACTGAGAACAGTGAGAGAAAACCCGAAGAGACGAGTCGCAATGAAAACGGGAAAAGCAAGGAATCTTCCACTACGTGCTCGTCTCGCAAGGGCATCATCACACATTTAACTGATCAAACTGGCATTATAGACAACATTTTCAATTTTCAAAAGCATATTGCAGCAGAGCTCTTCGAGGAGCTGAATGTGGGGTGTGTAATTGAATATTTAGTGTATGAGCAGGAGCACGGTGAGAACAAGGTAATCAAAATACAAAAGATTGTCGAGCACTCGTGGGAGAAGACAACGGAGGACAAGGTGAGCTACATAGCCAGAATAGATCAAGGTCATGTAATAATTATCTATTAATCATAAGGTTAAGGATGTGTTGGAAACCTTAAAGCTGGATAATCCAACCTATTTCAATATGCAACTGCGAAACATTTTGGGCATCATTACGCAGCGCCAGCCCTCGTCAATTGTGGTGGATACGGATTATGGCGAGTTGACTGTTCAGTTGGACAGCATTGAAACGACCTTCTTACCCAGAACGGGTGATGAGATTACGCTGGAGTGCCAAGTGCAGCTGGACGAGGGCTATGTGGATCAACAGGGCGAAATACTGGAGGTGAAGAAGATGTTTCCCACACGCATCGAACCGAAGCAGCAGTGCACCGTCGAGCGGGTCTTCGAGGAGCTCACAGTGCTCTCATCGCAGGCCTATGTACTCAAGGAAGATGTGCCAATAGGACTTCAATTGCATCTGGGCGACATTGTCCAAGCAGATCTGATCGAATGCAAATATGTAAGAGAGTTGAAGTTCATTTAAATATAAATGTAGTCTCTGATAATTATTTAGAAGAGTATTAAGTAGCCCATATATGTTTTCTGTTCCCACAACAAATCAGGCGAAATTTTCTCGACGTGCCATTAAATTGGTTCAGCTGGAGAAGAACTTTGGCCAGATCACGAAAAATCAGATAAGCACCTCGTGCAGCAACAAACGAGCCGTCATCGTCGAGGGCGTGGAACGCTTCATCTATACGGAACAGTGGAAGAAGCACCGTGTGACACTTCGCATCAGAAATGTGGGCAAGCGGGACTTCGAGCTGCGCTGCATTAAAATACCAAATTTGTCGGATGCACAGATCAGTGTTGTGGAGCCTGTTAGTTCGCGCACCATAAAAATGGGCAACCAAATTTCGCTGATCTTCGAGGTGCACACCAAGTTCATTGGCGAATCAAAGGAGTTGTACTGCTTGCAGTTCGATACGTTTAAGTTGACTCGCTTTCTGACCGTTATCGTCTGTGAAACGAATGAGGAGGCCATCGAGGCGAACCGTCGTCTGATTGCCTCCCAGCAGCTGGTGGTTACTGGACGCAATGCACGGCAGCGATCCCGCTTCTATACCTATCAGGTCCATTCCAATAAATCTCCATTGGTGCCGGGTGAATCGATAGCCACCAAGCGCCGCTTTGTGCCGGTGCATCTGTTAAGCTATGATGTGCCGGACAAACTGTGCAAAATAGTGCTTAAGACGGAGGTGGTTCAGAATGTGTGGGATCTCTTGGGCGATGAGTATCCGTTTTTAAATGAGAACTTTACGTTTACCAACTATGCACAGCGCTTTTCAACTTTGTTGCACCTAGAGGAGATTGACTACAGCATTAGCTTTCGGAACTATGACCGCGAGCGAGCTCACTTCATTCGCGAAGGTGAATATCTCTCGCTACATATAGAGAATCTTGCCGAGCGTCGTCCGTCGCTGGTACTGGGCGACACGGTGAATGCGATCAATCCCTGGTTGGAGCCGGACAGCAAGGATAACAAGTTGTTCCAGGGCGTCGTGCACAAGGTTCTCTTCGATAGAGTGCATCTAAAGTTTCATGCCAACTTTCAGCAGAAATACAATGGCGAGGATTATCGTCTAGAGTTCCACTTCTCACGCTTCTCCTTTCGGAAACAGCATCATGCTGTATCCCACATTTGCGACAAAATGGGCGAAAACTTTCTGTTTCCTAGCAAGATTAACAAACGCGACCAAATTCAACTGGACATCACGCTCAAGGATGATGAAATGTATCTATATAATCAGAAGCTAAACTGGTTTAACCCCTCACTCAACCACATCCAAAAGCGGGCTGTTTACAATGTGCTGAGGGGCGAGGCGCATCAAATGGCTTATGTCATCTTTGGACCACCAGGCACGGGTAAAACTGTAACCCTAGTGGAGACCATCTTGCAGCTGGTGCGCAATGTGCCCAGCGCGCGTCTCCTTGTGGGCACACCATCTAACAGCTCTGCTGACCTAATCACCAAACGCATTATCGACAGCAAAGCCTTGAATCATGGCGACTTTGTGCGCCTCGTCTCGCAAAATCAAGTGGAGAAGGATCTTGTGCCGCCAGATCTAGCGTCCTACTGCGCTACAGTCGACATAGGCAGCATAGACGCCACGCACGATAGCGTAAGTTTCCCCGATATATGTAAAATTGCATATTATTGAAATTCCATATTTTGCAGATGATTGTTACGGACGCTGGATTGAAGCTGCGCTGCCAGGCTAAGTTTCTGGGCAAGCATCGGATTACAATCAGTACTTGCACTACCCTTGGCAACTTCATCCAAATGGATTTTGCGTCGGACCACTTTACGCACGTCCTGATCGATGAGGCGGGACAATGCACAGAGCCCGAAACAATGGTGCCAATTGTCCTTCTAGCCAAGGAGCGCAGTCAGGTAATCCTGGCCGGGGACCCTTACCAGCTGCAAGCTATTGTGACCAGTCGCTATTCGAGCGAAATGGGTCTGAATGTTTCCTTTCTGGAGCGGCTGCTCCAGACTCCGCCGTATCGCAGGGACCTGCAACGCTTTCCCCACAGTTCCGGCTACAACCCATGTGTGCTGACCAAGCTGCTGTACAACTATCGCGCACTGCCCTCCATCATGTCTGTGTATAGTAAACTCTTCTATGACAACGAGCTTGTCTCCATGGTCTCCGAAAAGGATTCTCGTGAGGCGCATACCCTAGCCAAACTGCAGACAATCTTTGAGCCCCATTTGGACATGCCGCGCACTCATGGCACTTTCTTTCACGGCATATTGGGCGAAAATATGCAGGATATGGATTCGCCCTCCTGGTTTAATCCAGCAGAAGCTCGCGAGGTCTTTCTACTGACCATCACGTTGTATCGTCACAATGTGCATCCCGATAATATTGGCATTTTGACACCTTATGCCAAACAGGTGAAAACTCTGCGCTCCATGTTCATTGCTGCCGACGTGAACATGCCCAAGATTGGCTCAGTGGAGGAATTTCAGGGTCAGGTAAGCAGTTGGCGGTAGAGTTGCCAAAGTTTATGTTTAATTTTCTCATTTTGTCTTCTAGGAGCGCGACATCATGCTTATTTCCACGGTGCGTTCCTCTGAGTGCAATCTGAGATCTGATGCGCGCTTTAATTTGGGCTTTGTACGTTGCAACAAGCGTATGAATGTTGCCATCTCACGTGCCCGTTGTATGCTGGTCATCTTTGGTAATCCTCTCCTGCTCTCTGTCGACGATTGCTGGCG